ATCTTTTATGCATTATTTAAAAAAAAAATTAGCATTGTGCACTTCTTTTCTATATTCTCTATAAGTGTGGAAAATTTCATACCCCTCCGTTGGCGCAATTTTCTTAAAAAGGGATACAAAGTTTTTTGCTTTATGTATTAATATATAGATTACACAATTATTGTTACTGTAAAATGGATTCAAATTAAAAGAAGTTTCGTTAGAACAATGTTTTAAGGTAATATTTTCAATCTAGCAGCGCAAGTGGCAAAAATAGGAGGGAAAGTGAATATTACTAATTTTCAATACCTCCGGATTTTTTTCCTATAACCCTCTTTTTAAGCATTTAGTGACAGGATTAGACAGAAACCCTGAAGAACAAATGGGAAATCTGATCGGTGTATATGGTCTGGCAACCGCCGGTGTACTCTCTACAGTGCTTCGATCCTAAGGACGGTATCTACGTAATTTTTTCTGCATTTTTCTTCTTCTATATCGTTCCCTCACTACTGAGGATCGCGACCACATGCGACGTACTTCCAATGTGCTCGATCATGGGTGGCATGGACTGCATAGTACAGACTACCACCAAGTGCTTCTCTTGCTAGATCTGACCATCTGGCTGGTGTTCTGCCCACGGCGCGCTTGCCTTCTATTCGACCCGTAATTATGAGCTTCTCTAATTCATGTCTGGGAGACCGCATGATGTGTCCGAAGAAGCTCATAACCCGTTCACGGCAGATGGAATAGAGCCTTTTTCGGATGTCTAGCTGCCTTAGAATGGACTCGTTTGTTCGCATGGCTGTCCACGGTATTCGCAGCATCCTTTACTAACCCCGAAATACTTGCACAATCAATGAAAACATCGTGTAGCAAAATCATAATTTTATAAGTTACTAGCCCTACACGTCCGCTTCGCTGGGCATTTAAAATTAACATTATTATTTATTGTCATTATTATTAGGGAGTCCAACACTCATTAGCCGATCCATTAAGTACATGTATTTTCTACGTGGATACCAAGTTTCAAGTCAATCGGATGCATGGTTCAGTATATAAAACGGAGCATCCGTAAAAACCACTGTAGATTTATACATTAGTATAAGATATATTATTATAGATGTAGAATTTTTTGTCTGGCAGGTTGACATCGCCAATATGTTGGTCTCTTATGCTGCAGTTGTTATGCGTTCTGATTTTATAACTTTTTCATTTAAAAAAGTAGAAAATATAAACATATATAGATATGATGTATTTATAGATTTGCAACCGTTTAGTGATAAGAGCTGCCTAAGACCTAATTTGTTATTTATTTGCATTATATTATTCTATAGGTTATGGCATTGATAGATTGACGTATGTAGATCTAACGACTCGGCGATCACATCCGCCGCTTTTGTGGATGCCGGATGCCGCAAAATAATACGCTCATACAACATTTGTTTTACAAAGTAACCAAAGATTAAGGCGAAATAAGCCCAAGGTTATCTATAAAATAATACATGGAAATTTTTCCCATAACCCTTTTAAAGTAAATGAATGATTTTTGAATAAGCTATTATTTTGTACTAGAGGTCTCACAGTAGTCGAAATTCGACTATAATTGGAATTTTAAGTTTGTACACTATTATGATTGTATTTTATACTTCTATAATCACAAATTTCGCCAAGACTACACTATAAAAAATATTAACAAAGACAAACCATATTCTATTCTCAATTTGACAACAGACGTCAAGAATTTGTTTGACAATAAATAGTATGCATGCGTGTGTGCGTCAATGTGCGTGCTATTTTAGTAAAAAGGGATACAAAGTTTTTGCTTTACGTATTAATATATAGATACCTACAGTACCTATTGTTTTCAAAATATTTAGCGATGATAAACAAAGAAAGTCTTTTTTTGTTTTATACGGTTTACTCGTTTTGTATTTGGATTACCGCGCTTATTCTACACATATTTCTTTTTCAATTCCTTTTTTAAATACATAGTTCGAAAATTGTCAAAAAATATGTATACACTTATAGTAATGAACAATTTTTCACGACGACAAACTACTCACTACGAATTACGACTTATATTTATGAACTGAATATGAATATTACATGGTTATACAGTGTACGCATACAAAAGCGGTTTTGTGCTTTTGTTCCTACAACAAAACCATAGAGTAATTGTTTTGTTTTGTATAATATTGTAACGACACCACCAAGTATACCAGTAGACATTAAATGTGCTATTATAATATCATAGTTTCGACATAATAATGCGGTGCATATATTTTATCCAATTAGTTAAATTGTTATCTAAAATATTAACTTAACAAGTCCCAATGGTTACTTTAAACATTAATTTAATTAATAATTAGGGATTACCTTCTTCTTGTCCTAATCCCATTTGGCTAGATAGGCACACCATAATTTGTTATAATTTGATGTGGAGTACAGATAAATGACCGTTTCTCTGCTTTATCTTGCTCTTGCTCATAATTTTTTCCCTTCCTAATCACAGATAACCTAAGGGGCTATTCCAGCCACCGTGTCGTCGTGGCATAAAGGACAAGACGTCCGGTGCATTCGTGTTGAGCGATGCATCGGTGTTCGAATCCCAGGCGGGTACCAATTTTTCTAATGAAATACGTACTTAAAAAATGTTCACGATTGACTTCCACGGTGAAGGAATATAACATCGTGTAATAAAAATCAAACCCGCAAAATTATAATTTGCGTAATTACTGGTGGTAGGACCTCTTCGGAGTCCGCGCGGGTAGGTACCACCATCCCGCCTATTTCTGTCATGAAACAGTAACGCATTTCGATTTGAAGGGTGGGGCAGCCGTTGTAACTATACTGAGACCTTAGAACTTATATCTCCGCATTTACGTGGTGGATGTCTATGAGCTCCAGTAACCACTTAACACTTGCTGGGCTGTGAGCTCGTTCACTCATCTAAGCAATAAATAAAAAAAAACTCTCTCTATAGGTCATCCAATCCCGTTTTCGTAGTATAGCCGTCGGAGCACCTTGGTACGTGAGGAATGTAAATCTTCACGACAATTTAGATTTAAATCCGTTACATACATATCTGAAGACAGCGTCAGAATGTTTCTTCGGCATGCGGCCCGATAACCCCTCTTATCGTAGCTGCCTCGAACTAAATTTCCGGTCCAAGCCACGGGGCAATGCAAAGTGGCCGTCGCCGTAAACACGTCCTATTGGATCCTCTCGATCCACTATCGATCCTTTTAAGCTCTTCAACACCGGTGGTTGTGGGGTGTGTCTATGGGCTTCGACAAGAGGCACCCTTCTTTCTCGCCGGATCTTTTCGGTGGGTCGCGATTCCGATTCAGTGGTTGATTCAGCGAAGCACTGCTCTTACTACCAATATGTTTTTATGTAAGTTTTCGTTTAAGCCGTTTGTTTGCTCGAAGGCTAATAAAAATGTTATGTTTAAATAAATTATGTACATATTTTACTGTGGGCTGTTGATGATGATGATGATGTACATATAATTTTTTTGAAGTTGATATATCCATTGTTACGATCATTCCGAATCTGAAAGTCCTGTTTAAGAATTACGTAAGCCTATTAAAAATTTGCTACTTTTAAACGATGCACGCTAGACAAATTCTCGTTAATGAATGTGAAACAAACAATGTGTATAGTTCGGAGGCCCCAAAACAATCAATCCGTGTGAATGCAATTCAATTTTAATACAATTTCGTATACAATCGCAATTTGTATTACCTATAGTATTGTATTCATATTACAACAATGACATAATAATATGCACATCAAATATTTATATTACAATAAACAAGCCAAACAAAATATTTATATTACAATAAACTGCCACGCAGTATTTTGAAGATTAATGCGCCGGCCTTTCTTGCCGTCTGTCAAAAGTATGAGACCCACGCTTATTAAGTACACGTGATTCAGATAAATGTTCAAAATATATGCTTTCATATGCTCTTAGAATCGAAAATAAAGGAACAGTTCAAATGTTACATTCCACGGATACATCCTTATTTGCATACTTTTAGAACTGTTTGTCAAAATCTTTTATAATAAGTTTAAAATTTAAAATAAATTTAAAGTCTTCAATTTTTCACTGGTGGCAGGGACCTCTTGGGAGTCCGCACGGGTAGGTACCACTACCCCGCTTATTTCCGCCGTGAAGCAGTAATGCGTTTCGGTTCGAAGGGTGGGGTAGCCGTTGTAGCTATACTGAGACCTTAGAACTTATATCTCGAGGTGGGTGGCGCATTTACGTTGTAGATGTCTATGGGCTCCAGTAACCACTTAACACCAGGTGGGCTGTGAGCTCGTCCATCCATCTAAGCAATAAAAAAAAATAAAAAAACGTCTTTTATACTACGAGTAATAAAACGTATTATAATGCTAATTTAAATTGCTAACTCTAGCTCGTATATATTCATGTCATATCTTCAAAACAAAATGTCAAACGGTTCGACAAGAACTGATAAATCACGCGTATTTCTCTCTTAGTTATTTTATTTACTCTCAGTTTTCTATAAAAAAATATATACTTGTTTAAGTACATCTTGTAATGATTTGTGAGGTTACTTTATGGTATTATTGAGCAAGCTATGTTAGTATACAGTATATGACTAAACTCGAATATATTTTTTTTGTTAAACATTGGTGCTCTGAGGAATTGTTCGAGATGATACCGTCATCTCGTTTTTACCATCGCCCCGCCCGCCACCAGGGTAGAGTTCATCCACACTACCTGAAGCCACTGCGGTCATCCACCGTACCTACCATCCCGCTATGGAATGAGCTCCCCTCCACGGTGTTTTCTGAGCGCTATGACATATCCTTCTTCAAACGAGGCTTGTGGAGAGTATTAAGCGGTAGGCAGCGGCTTGGCTCTGCCCCTGGCATTGCTGAAGTCCATGGGCGACGGTAACCACTCACCAGGGCATGTGCTCGCTCGTCTGCCTACAAGGGCAATAAAAAAAAAACTCTTCGAAGTCTCTTAATTTAATACATACCTTAGAATTCGTTATTGGAAACATACATCGGACACAATTGTACAGTATCTGAAAATAACGAAAGGAGACAGTCAGTCGGAATTCAGAGTTCCATGCCGATGCGTAGGTGCTTATACGATTAGTTGACCCGTCTTGAAGTTGTAATATGACAAGGTTGTCGATTGCTTAATAATTTCAATTTCGTAATAAAAGCTTTCCAATATTTTTATAACTTTATTCAAAATAGTATTAAAACAAAGCAAATCGATTCAGCTGTTCTCTAGGGATGCGCTTACCAGCGAACGTTCGCTGACGATTCCGCTCGTTTTAAATTCTTTATGTGTTGGTAATATTGAAATAAAACGAGTCCTTTTTTTTAATTCTAAGATAAAGATAGATATAAGTTCTAAGGTCTCAAGTATAGCTACAACGGCTGCCCCACCGTTCAAGCCGAAACGCATTACTGCTTCACGGCAGAAATAGGCAAGCTGGTGGTATCTACCCGCGCGGACTCACAAGAGGTCCTACCACCATTATTTCTATATCATAAAATTAAAATAATACTTCTAATTATTTTTTGAGAGTATTTTCCAACAATCGACCCACATATTATAATGATCATCGGCGTGCCTGAATGTTTCGGTGGTTTCGGTTCTTCAAGAAACGCAGCAAATATTAATTTGATAATAGTCTGACGTAGTCATTTTTTCACTCAAATAAACGGTTACTTGGAAAAATTAATAGTTGTAGGTCACGTGGAAGGAAAGAGAAGTCGAGGAAGATTGCCAACCAGGTGGACGGACATTGTCAAGGAGGCCACAAACTCCAGCGTCCCGGGCGCCATTAAGCAGGCCGAATGCAGGCAGCATTGGAGGAAGCTGGTGCAAAAAATGGACTGAGGTGGTCACGACCCTCAGTAATGAGGAAACGACAAAGAAGTAGAAGAAGAAGAAGAAGAAGAACCGGTTAGTTGATCTGCCATTGTTGGGTTTCACAAGAAGAACGGACATTTGCTGTTTTAGTAGAAATTAATATAGGGTTTTTAAAAATCCTAACAAAGAAAAGTCTCTCTCTAAGCATTTCATTTGAAAACAATATTACGCTGCCTCGAAAACGTTTGTTTGCTTTCCATTTTCAAATAATTCGTTACAAAGCCAATTTCAGCCCAAAGTTCAATATAAGCAGAAGATACAATAGACCTATTACTCGTTCTTCCGTTCGAAGAACGCAAAGCAATATGGAAATGCCGTATCCACACAAATTCCTTATTGGCATCCAGCGCAAGTCTCTAGACCCGTTTTAATCAAACGTTGCCTGGGAATTTCATTACAGGCCTCGTAAGTAATAGAGAACATTTGCTTTTAGTAGAGGATATCGTATCGGACGATTTCATGCGGTGAGATTTACAGGCGACACCTCAAAGTTACGTGAAGGTATTTAGACGGGCTTTTGTGCGATTTCTATGGGAATAGACAACACGCAAAACATAATATACAAATAGCTAATCTTAAATTATACTACCATTACGTCGACTAGCAAAAGTTACTTCTAAATTGTGCTGGGCGACTTTTCAGAAATTGATTCTTCTTAAACGAATATTTAAAACTAGCGGCCGGCTCCGGCTCTGCTCGGGTCTTTAACAAAAATTTCAACGACCTTGTTTTATTTTTTAAATAAAAGAACACTTATGGCGGCATAACTATAATAGTTAGACATATACTGCTGCGACACTTTTTGTAAATAATAATATGTTCTACAAAGTCGTAGTAGATTATTTTATTCTATCATCAATAGTTTTCGCAGGGCACGCGATGTAAAGAATATTTTAGGTAATCTTTTTACACCTTGGGTTACATTATTGGAGTTTTATTAATGATCCCTAATTTTTTTTAAAAAGATTATAGCCTATGTCACTCAAGAATAGTGTAGCTTCCAAACAGTGAAAGATTTTTTCAAATCGCTTCAGTAGTTTCGGAGCCTATTCAATACAAACAAACAAATCTTTCCTCTTTATAATATTAAGTATAGATGAGTATTCTCCGAGAACTAATATTCTGCCTGTCATCATAGTATTATATCATCATACAAGTAAACGGCAGTCAGCATTATGGTTGTGTCCCTCGCATTGTGGAAGTTTATTCTGAAGTTTCGGCTTTTTGACTTTATGAATCGAATGGCTTTATTTAGAAAATACATACATGCGAGTATATCATAAAGTAGAAAGTAGAGGAAAAAATGCAACTTTCACTTACTCATTATATGTTGACCTTTAAAAAGCTTTAAAAAACTATTGGACGAAGTTGTCAAAACAAGAAATTCGTGATCAGTAGCTGATATTGTATGTATGGAATTCGCTAAGCACAAAGTTTATTTTTTGTACTGTTAGGAAATTATAAATTGTGAAACAGTTAACAAAATTTGCTTTAATTTTATTCAAGGTCAAAACGAAAGCCACTGAATTTACTAAATATTATTTGATCCCAGATCGGACCTTTGGTATTCACGGTTGACCCGAGTCCCGAAACCCGATTCATATAATTTTAGGCCTAAGCTTATTTATATTTTTATTGAAAATGAAAGTTAGGTATAGAATTTAAAATTTAGCCGTATTAAAATTTCCCTGAATAAGGCTTAAGAATTAGATTTGTATTGGGTTTTTTTCAGTATTTTAGTTACATTTAGTATCTTATACTCGTATATATATTCATAGTCATAAATGTCGGAATAAAGTTGTTTCGTATTTTTTGGATCTTTTTTACAATGGTTTCAATAAAATGTAGCTAAACATATTTATAATTGTAGTATGTGTGCCAACTTTTCTGATAATTTGTTGCCATTTTGTAGTTAGTGACATAGTCCCATTGCTGTAGAAATTTCGGGACTCCCGATAAAGCTGCGATAAGCAGTTTTTACTGTCCTCTCTTATTATTAAACTTAAATTACCGCAGTTCCAAAGTTATCATCATTTGCCTATGGTCCGCATAATGAAATCGTATTGTGGTACAAAAAAAAAATTGGTCCATATATACATGACGATAACTTTTTTTATTGACAAAGTTCATCTCTATACTACAATGAATCACTTACTATTAATAGAGTATCGGACAATATTTACGAAAGTTAAAAATCTTAATAATTTTGTCACCATAGTCCAAATTTTTGATTCTAAGTTTTTTTATTGCTTGTACGGGTGGACGAGCTGACGACCCAATTGTGACTGGAGCCCATAGACATCTACAACATAAATGTCGTTACCCACTTTGAGATACGAATTCTAAGTCTAAATTTTTACAGTACAACCAACGGCTTCTCCACCCTTTAAACCGATACGCATTACTGTATCAAGGCAGAAATAGACAGGGTGGTGGCAACTACCCGTGAGGGCTCACAATATACCCTACCACCAGTATTCGCAACTACAATTTTGTTTTTTAATTAAATATTTAGCAACATTAAAGTATTTAGATCAATTCTTTGTCAATTTATAATTTTATGTATGTAGCTGACCCGGCAAACATTGTTTTGCCATATATAAGATTTCTAGGGAATTTCTAGTGTACAAAAAAAAACCTCATTCAATCACATAATATCTCATTATAACAAAAAAAAATTGTCTAAAATATAAAAAAAAAAAAAAATATTAGGGGCGGACAACCCTTATCACTTAGGGGTATGAAAAATAGATAGTAGCCGATTCTCAGACCTACTGAATGTACATATAAAATTTCATAAAAATCGGTCAAACCGTTTCAGAGGAGTATGGTAATTAAGTAGTCGTGGCCTAACGGATAAGACGTCCGATGCATTCGTGTTGAGCGATGCACCGGTGTTCGAATCTCAGGCGGGTACCAATTTTTCTAATGAAATACTTACTCAACAAATGTTCACGATTGACTTCCACGATGAAGGAATAACATCGTGTAATAAAAATCAAGCCCGCAAAATTATAATTTGCGTAATTACTGTACTGGTGGGAGGACCTCTTGTGAGTCTGCACGGGTGGGTACCACCACGCTGCCTATTTCTGCCGTGAAGCAGTAATGCGTTTCGGTTTGAAGGGTGGGGCAGCCGTTGTAACTATACTTGAGACCTTACAATTTGTATCTCAAGGTGGGTGGCGCATTTACGTTGTTAATGTCTATGGGCTCCAGTAACCACTTAACACCAGGTGGGCTGTGAGCTCGTCCACTCATCTAGGCAATATAAAAAAAAAACAAAAAACAGTGTGACACGAGAATTTCATATATAAGATTATAATTTACGGAAACAATTTTTTCATTAAATAGTGCTTAAAGTGATGTGAACTTATAATATAAAGCACATATATGTTTACTCAGGTAATGCAGAGGCTTTAAAGGATACGGACGGTCTCATATCCCTAGTGAATTAAAATGAAGACGATCGTTGTCTTGAAGTACCTCCGTTGAATCTTACATACGACAAGACACCCGCTGAATATTTGATCTGAAACATCAAAGCCACGACCTTGTCCAAATATTACATAATTCACGTTTTCATATCCTTTGAGTTTGACAATCGTCATATTTATGAGACGAGTGAGATTTTATCGGTACCTAATTAAACAACCATCATTGCGTAGCTAAACAGTAATTTAATTTTATACCCTGCAGTTAAACCTCCTGGTAATCACATAGAATGAATACACACGGAAATAATAAATTATGGAATCAGAAATGTTTTTGTACTTGTAGCGATCATTTTGTATCTTCTTCTTCTTCTCAGTCGTGTCACTCTTGACAGAGTGGTCGTGATCGTCATGTTGTCATTTCTATACGCTGCTGAGACGTGGACCGTGCGAGACGTGGAAAGGAAGAAAATAGATGCTCTGGAAATGTGGTGCTGGAGAAAAATGCTTGGAGTTTCGTGGACCGACTTTCGTACAAATGTCTCGATACTTCAGGAACTCGGCATCAAGCAGCGTCTATTTGGTATAGTACAGTCTCGAATGGTGGATTTCTTCGGACACGTTTCGCGACGAGATGGCCGGTCCATAGAACGCCTCGTTGTACAGGGAAGCGTTGATGGTACAAGACCGCGCGGGAGGCCAC